GGGGTGTGTGGTTCTCGGGGTGTGTAGTTGTGGTGAGGGGGGCAGAGGTGTGTGGTTCTCGGGGAGTGTAGTTGTGATGGTGGGGGTTGGGGTGTGTGGTTGTGGTAGTGCGGGAGGCCGGGGTGTGCGGTTCGGGGCGGTGTGTAGGGGGTGGCGGGCTCGGACGATACTTTCTGGATCCCGGGTAAAACCCGCTTTCTGGTAGGCGCCTGTTTACACCCCCGCCCCCCAGTAACGCTCCCACACACTCGCCCTTCGGCCGGGCCTGTTCGGCCTCGGTCCCCTTGGCGTGTGAAAGCAGCGCGCTGCCCCGGCTGCCCTCCGGGCTGGGTGAGTCACTCCGCCCCGGCAGCCCGTGTGCTCCTCTCGGGGCCCCGAGCCCGGAGGTTCAGTGCCCAGGCGTCCCCGTGCGGCCTGGCGCCCATCGGGGTGGTGTCGGGGCGCAGCTTTCAAGTTGTCCGGGACCGGAGGCAGCGGCGCCCGCCCGGCCCCGCCGAAGCTGCTGGCGCTGGGGTGTCGGGGCTCGGCAGACGCAGCCGAAGGAGCCCCGGGCAGGGCAGGGCAGGAGCGTCCGGCTGTGCCCGCGGGAGTTCATCCGGCGGCTCCGGTCGCTTGGCTCTGTCCCTGCTGATTCCCCGTGGAGCGGCCGGAGGATGCGGTTCCCTCCCCCCGCAGACCGGAGCCCAGAGAGGCAGATTCAGCCCTGAGCATCCGTCCCCGCGCCCGTCTGCAGCCCGGACACTGCCCTCGCCAGTCTCCGGTTCCCCGCACCCCGGGGGCTGTTCCCGGCACCGGGGGGCGGTTCGGGCGCTGGTTCCGTCGGGCTCACACCCATCCAGCGGTCTCTCGGCGCCGCGACTCTTAGCCTCTGCTCCTCCTCACCGCCACCAAACTACACCCGCGTCGGGCTCCCGCGGTGCTACCCCGGCTGCGGGCAGCCGCCGACCCTGGCCCCCGGCCCCGCGATGCCTTCCCGGCTCCCCTGGCCGGGCCGGGCCGGGGTCGCTCTGCACGCAGCGAGGGCGAATCTCATGCTCTGGTTTTAGAGAGCGGGTCAAAACCGTCATGAGCCACGGGGCAAATCTCCCCGTCCCGGTCTCTTCGCCGTGTCCTGCCTGTAGCTTGCCAGCCATGGAGCCGGTTGAAAAATATATATATATATATTTTTTTTTGCCAAAGAAAGCAGAAAAAAAAATCCAGTTCGATTTTCTGCTAAGTCTCCCGGCCTCCATTTTTCACCCGGCTCTGCCGTTTCCTTCCCACATTTCTAACATTTCTGGCCTCTTCGCCTTATTTCTCTCCCCGCGCTGGCGTTAACACGCCTCCCAATTTCACATCCTCTGCCAGCGAAATGAGTGTGCTGTTTACTCCACTTCCAGATAATTAATGAAAATGTTAAATGAGACCAGACTCAACACTGCTGGGCACCTTCGCCAGCCCCATCCCGGGCTGTGTATTATTTCCCTTTGTTTAGCGCTGCGTTTTTCAGTCCGCTTGAGAGTTCCAACCTACTGGAATGTAATTCTGTTTACCGAGATGGTTCTAAGCCATCGGACCAGATTTCTCGCTGGTTTATCTCAATTGTTCCTAGCAGTTATGCCAGAGAAGGATTTAGTGCTGTACTACAATTAAGGTATTAATTAAGCGTTACTACAATTAAGGTATTACATTTATTACATTGACTTCATTCCTTTTATCTACTTTGTAATACAGCCCTAAAAAGCAGTCACATTGTCTGGCATGATTTGTCTCCTAGAAAGGCAGGCTGCTTACTGACCTTGGTTCCCTTATTCTTCAGATTTTTACATGTTTCCCTCACCCCACCCCCACGACATTTTCCATTCTTTAACTGGGGTGAAGCTAGCACCGAGAGGTAATTGTAGGGTTACTTTTGTTTCCTTTTTTAAAAGGTCGGATGTTTGCCCTTTTCTCTCTTCCCCCAACCCTTTGGTTCCTCCCCAATTGTATGTGACTTTTATAAATAATCAGCAGTGTTTTGGGATGTTAGCCAATTCCACGTGTTGCCTGTATGTTGCCTAGGTTCAAATCTTACCTGCTTTTGGGCCAGATCTTGCAGCCCTTCCTCATGTGAGAAACCCTATTAATGCCAATGAAATCACTCACTCTAGCAAGAGTGTGTGTGCTCCACTCTATGCATCCCAAGAAGTGGGTTGTAGCCCACGAAAGCTTATGCTGAAATACATTTGTTAGTCTCTAAGGTGCCACAAGTACTCCTCTTCTTCTAGCGAGAGTGGCCAGGTAAAGTTTTATTAATAATAGTTGTTTTTAAAGGGTTTTAAAAATTTTCAATTGTCCACATTTATTTATTTTTCCTCATTAAAAACAGATAATAAAAAGCATTTCAGTACCTTAACATTTAAAATAAAAATGACCAATTGCAGCACTTTGCTTTTGTATTAGTGGTTCTGGCTTTTTCTTTAGAATTTTTTTCTCCCTTGAAATATTTGTATAAGCATTTTTCCTTCCCTTTGGACAGCATTAATTCAGGCAAAGAAACTTCAGGAAACTGTAGTGGCAAAGCTCTATCCTGCATTATTTAATTAAGAAAGCGGAATATAACGACTACAAATAGGGGGAAAAAAGTAACAATTTTTGTCGTTTTTTTAAAATATTCCTTTCTAGCTGTGACTTAAAAGAGCCAGTAGCTGAAGATTTAGGAAGCCAATTCATTTAGAAAGACGGATCCCAGTGGTAGATCAGTAGCAAAGACAATCATTTGCAGGGCGCTAGTCAAACAGTGAAGCACTGAATGGAAAAAGCAGACAGATTTGCCAGTTTTTTTCCCCTCTCTCTCGATGCCTGATCTGATTTGCACTCAGATCAACAGGCTGTATGATCTGCTCCATACAGGCAGGTGGGTCATTCTGGGTATTTCTTGTATCTCGGTGTTTCACTCGATAAAGCAGTCCTGATCTTGTGCTACCCTAACACATCTCAAGGGAAGAGTTTGTCTTAATCTCAGTCCGTGGAGGTGCAGATGGAAGAAAAAATGCTGGCCCAGCCAGCTGTAGTCAAACATCTATGGGAGAAACGAACTGTACGGCATAAACTGTGGATGGTTCATACAAAACATTTGTAGAAATAAATGTTGCTGCTTCAGCCCAAAGGTCAATATTTCAACAACTCGCGGCAGAGAACTTCCACTTATTAAATGTCTTCACTTGGGGTTTTCATGACGGAATGACTGAAGGCTTTTGTTTCTTCGGTTTTCCTCATGGCAATAAAGTTGAAATGTAGCAGCCTTTCAAAATGAAGTTTCTCATAGAAGTTGTAACCACAGGTCTTAACTTTTCATCACTTAAATGTGGAACAGAACCATTGCAAATGTGGGTGAGGGAAGGAGGGGACACATGTGGTGTCTATCAGAGATCAGTGTAAATCAGAAAGGTGTGCTAAGGGGGATTTCCTGCCTAGAAGCAAAACTTTCTTATTTGTTCCTAAGATCTCTGTGTGGAAACTTCATGACCAGAAGCTAGTAACTGTCATTGTATTAGAGAGGATCTTTTTGTGTGGAGGTTGCGCTGAGAGCTTCACTAGAGGAATCCAGTTCTCTGAAATGAAATCCTGCTGCCTCTGCCAAGCTCTACCCCACCTCACCAAGTCCTAGTAGCCATGTTATCTTTCCACAGCATCACTATGCCACTCTTATCAAGAATGCAGGAACTATTTGCATTGTAGTAGCACCTAGAGGCTGCCCTCCGAATCAGGGCCCCATTGGGCTAGGCACTGAACAAACACATAAGAAGAGATGTCCTGTACCCTGAGGAGCTAAATAAACAACATAGACAAAAGGTATACGTCTGGGAGGCACCCTGTGATCAGAGCAATCAGAGAGCGTGCTGGCAAGTGTCATGTTAGTTACCTCTTTTTTTCTAAGTTATCTGTGTTTGTCCATTTTTC